TTTGCGGAACTGGGGATTGAACTCAGGCCCTTGCGCTTGCCAGGGAATCTGAGGATTATTTCACTTAATCCTTAGATGATAATTACCAACTCCCCATTTTGTAGATGAGCAAACTGAGATTTAGAGAAATTAAATAGCTCGTCCAATGCCAGAATTTGAATTTAGGCAATCCTGCTTGCCAGGGCCTTACACTTGTTAGACAAGTGTTCTTCCACTGAACCACACCCTTAGTTCCTGTCTTTTATAAAACTTAGGCAGTGCAGCTGCACAATCTGTGCTCCCTATGCCTGTGTTCAAGACCCCATAGCAGTCTTCTTTGTCTACCCCCTGGGTGGCACCCAGGGGAACTGCTCTTGCTTCACTGCTGTCACAGCCCCAGCTTGGGTGACTGGTCCCTGTCTTTGTTTTCCCCTCCTTCTGCTCCTGGCACAGAGCGGCTGCTCAGAGGTCTGTTCATTTGACATTACAGAACCCGCGGCCATCCCTGCAGGCGGGACTGATGAGCCCCCCATGCTGACCAAGGAGGAGCCTGTTCCAGAACTGCTGGAGGCTGAGGTGAGAGAGGCCGGAAGGCTGCATTCCCCGATCTTGGGGGGAATGGGGGTTCCGGGGTCCTGGGGACCCTCCTGATGTCCAGGAGGGAGACGTGAACCCAGGACCCAGCACAGGCTTAGAGGCCAGACTGGGGTGGGGGGTGCTGAGAAACAAAGAGTGTTTTAGAGGCACAGTCCTGGGGTCTTGATCAGGGCTGGTTTAAGAGCATTAAAGCTGTGAAAGAATCATGGTGCTCCACATATCAGACAACCAAGGCTGAGATGCAGCACAGTGGTAGAGCGCATGCTACATGTGAACAAGACATGGGTTCCACCACACCGCAAAACTCCTAAGCTACAAAATTAGCGTAAGAGCCTCATAGATGTGCCTTCCTCACAAGGACCACCAGATGCATTTTTCAGAAAGATCAGATCCTTTCCCTGAAACAGTATAGCCATTGCTGCCATTTTCATGGCCCCTTGGGCTGTATCTTGGTGGCCTGGCCCTGGGCTGGCCTCCTGGGTCGGGCAGGGAGTGGAGCGGAGGCCTTGGAGAGTCAGAGGCCCGGAGGCTGCACTCCTGGGTGGGGTGGAGCTCACGCCTGTCCACCCTTCCTCCCCAGGCCCCTGAAGCTTACCCCGTCTTTGAGCCAGTGCCACCTGTCCCTGAGGCAGCCCAGGGTGACACAGAGGAATCGGAGGGCGCCCCCCCTCTCAAGCGCATCTGCCCAAATGCCCCCGACCCCTGAGAAGCCGGCCTGCTTGTCCTGTCATCCCAGGGGCCCCTTTGGCTTTTTACAAATAAAGTCCCTTTTGTAATTTTGTGTCATGTCATTTCCCCCGTCAGGGCTGGGAGGGGCTTTAGAGACAGTTTTGTCTCGTGTTTCCATTCCTCAGATGGGGTCACTGAGGCTCGGAGAGGACCTTCTGTAGTCACACTGCGATCAGATGTGAAGCGGGGGCTTGAGCCAGGACACCCCCTCCCGACACTCCACCCTTCTTCCCTCACCCTTCTGGTCCTCCCTCACCTTACTCCCCTCCTTTGGGAATCCCAGGACCCCTTTCCTTGCTGCACAGTTCTCCCCTGGGCCCTGCAGGTGTCACCACTGGACAATGGGGCTCATGATCTCCATGTCCTTGGTCTGGAACACAGCAGCCCAGAGGGACACAGGGCCCTGGGATGCCCCCACCCACTCCTCGCTCCTTGCCCTCAGGAAACTGCCACGTCGCCCCTGCACTCCTGGCCCTCACTTATGCCTGAGACCTCTGTCTCCTGCTTGGTCACCTCCTCCAAGAAGCCTTTCTGGACTCCTCCAAGAAGCTTAGTCTGGTTCCCTTTTCTGAGTTCCCACAATGCCTTGGACTTCCTTCCCTTTGCTCCAGCATTTGTCAGGCTGTTTTGGGATCCCTGGTCTGTGTGTGATCTCCTAGGCTGTGCCCACCTTTAGGATACAACCAGTTTCCCACCTTACTACTTCCACACTAGTATGGGGCAGTCATAGCGATGGCTTTGTGAATGAATGAGTAGATGAATGGTCTGAGGTTGTCCAGGAAGGCTTCTCTGAGGAGGCAGCATGTGAGCTGGGCCCCAACACATGGCCCCAGTATGGTGAACTGAGGTGAGAAGCCCTGGTTCAAGTCCCAGCTCTGTCACACACTAGCTCTGTGGCTCTAGGTGGCCATTTCTACTCTCTGAGCCTTAGTTTGTTCATCTGAGTAATGGGGTAGTTATGCTTCACCTGTCCCAGTAGCTTGTAGGAAATTTCATGTCATAAGATGCCCTCCCTCTGTGCCTACAAGAGGTTAGGTCAGGTATGTAACTTCTCCACTCCCATTTTTTTTCTTGGTACTGGGTGCCAGGGCCTCTACACTGAACTACTTCCCTGCCTCCACTTTATAATGTTGTATTTATACTAGCCCACCAGGATAATCCAGGACCCTCCCCCATCTTGCCCCTGAATTAGTTTGCAAAATCTGATCTGACACATAAAGTAACGTACTCAGATCTGGGAATTAGGAGATGGCCATCTCTGAGAGGCCATTATTTAGTCTGTGCTATATGGCAATTTCAGCTGGCTGTGTGATTCTGTTTATTGTCCTGTTGACCCCATGATCTGAGGCAAATACTCTGTAAACTGCTAAGTGCCTGGGGTGAGTGCTACAGGTCTTGGGTTTGAATCTTAGCATCTATATTCATTTGCTGTGTGATTTTGAAGAAATGACTTAACATCTTTTTTCTCATCTGCCTCAATTTTTGCATCTGTAAAACAGGGATGATGGTAACATCAGTCTGGTTAGAATATTCTGCATATTAAATGAGCCAGTATGTCTCAAGAGAGCCCTTAGCGTAGCACAGTTGGTCTTTTTTTTTTTTTTTGGTGGAACCAGGGATTGAACTCAGGCCCTTGCGCTTGCCAGGGAAGCGCTTATTCCACTGAGCCATCTCCCCGGCCCCATAGCACAGTTGGTCTTAATAACTGTCAGTTGTTTTTCCTGTTATCCCATTTATAGGTGAGGAAACTAAGGTACAGGGATGGATACCAGATCCCTGCCTGTCAGCGAGGCTGGGAAGGAAATCCTGGCCTGGCTCGGTGGCCCTTTATGAGCAGCCTTGAGAGGGTGGAGTTGGGGCCTCCCATTCTCATCTCTTTCCTTCTTACAGACCCCCGGCAACTGTCCAGGCAGGCCTGCCCCTCTTGCTATAGCCTGCTCCTTGGTGCAGGCTACAGGCCATCTCTTCTTCCACGTCACACCTCTGTCTTGTACTCTGCCCTGCCCTCTTTTTTTTTTTTTTGTGGAACCGGGGATTGAACTCAGGCCCTTGTGCTTGCCAGGGAAGCGCTTATTCTACTGAGCGATCTCCCTGGCACCAGGCCCTCTCTTTTTAGTGTCACTGCCCGCGGCAGGCCCAGGCCTCCCTGGCCCACTGCTTCTGTCTCTGCTTCCAGCTGTGGCTGGTCTCTTCTCTAATTCCCTACCTCAGAGCTCTGCTCCAGCTTGCAGACTCAGCGCCTGATGGCTGCACAGCGGCTGCAGTGGCGTGGCTGTCCCACAGGCCTTGTTTTCCCCGAGCCATGTCCCACTGTCTCCTGTGCACCAGGAGTTAGAGCCACTTCCCCGACCCACCAGGGCCTAATGTCTGCGTGACTCTCCACTTCGTTTCTCCAGGACCACACTGCTTTACTTTGCTTTCTCCAGGCATCAGCAAAACCTGTTAAAGCTTCCTGCTGGGTGTCCCTGCCCCAGGCCTGCTCCCTCCTGCCCCAGGCTCCACCTGGCCCTTCTAAGCCCACCTTTCTCCACAACACTGCCCTCGCCCAGCCTCAGCCCTCCTTCACCCCTGCACCGTGGCGCTGCACTCCGCGGCTTCCTCAGCGCCAGCTACCCCTGAGCTGCATGAGTCGACCCAGATGCAGCCCGGCATGTCTTGCCCCCTCGGCTCTCTTAGGCTGCTTTGCCAGGTGTGCCCTCTCGTCCCTCTTCCCAGGCAGCTTTGTTCTTGTCTGTCGCACCTTAGCGGCAAGGCTGCTTTTCCTCCTCTGTGCACCCTATTCTGCACAGCACTGGGGCCCTCTGCTTTGGTCTTCAGCACCAGACTGGGAGCTCCGCAAGGGCAGAGGAATTCCTGCCGCGTATCTATTTACTGTCTACTGGGCACTCTTCTAAACCCTGGAAATAGACCATAAAAAACATGGAAGAAAGTCAGCCAGTGTGTCATAAGCTTTCATGGCTTCCTGTGGCTGTGCTTTGCCCGCGCAAAGAGCACGCCTGCCCTGTGGCTGAAGTAGCTGCCGCAAAAGCGCGGTGGCCTCAGGACAGGGCTGCGTCCCAAGGCAGCACCGCAGCGCTGGGCTGCACGTACAGAAGCACACATGACCGTGCTGTCCCGAGGCATACAATCCATTTTTCACGGAGACATCAGTTCGTAGTGCATGACAGAACTTGGGAAAAGATAAAGCAGAGGAGAGATGGGGGAAAAGCGGGTAGGCAGGTGAAGAGAGGCCTCACTGGGAAGAATCTGAGGACAAGCCTGAAGGAGGTGAGGGAGAGCCCCACGGAACCTGGGGGGCCACATTCCTGGCAGGGGGAACAGCCATGCAAAGGCTTTGGCCAGAGGCCACTGTGGCTGCAGCAGAGAGAGAGTGGGAGAGGATGGTGGGCAGTGAGCTGGGGTCAGGCAGGGCTGGGGCAGGGCAAGTGTCACTCAAACTGGGAGACTTCTGAGAGTAAAGGAGGGGGCAGTATCAGTAATAGGTAAGGATGCAAGCTGGGACAACTAGAATGTCTGACTGTCCTGCTTGCATGCCATTATCAGGGCTCTGGCCTTCTTGAGGGGTGACAGATAGCAAATGGATCTGAACAGAGGGACGACATGATCAGACTTTTACCTAAAAAATTAAAAAGTGAATTGAAAGTATTTAGTAGGTAGTACATATATGCACATATAAATCCACCACCTAGATCTTGTAGCTTTTGTTTTGTTTGGTTTTGGTTTAGGCTTGAGATAAGGTCTCTGTAGTTTAGACTATCCTTGAACTCACCACGTATCCCAGACTGGCCTTGGTCTTGTGGCAATCCTCCTGCCTCAGCCTCACAAGGACTAGGATTACAGATGTACATGCCCAGCTTGATCCTGTAGCATTTTACAGTTTTTGCTTTATCTCAGATCTATCCATCTTATTTATTTTTGGTGGAACCAGGGATTGAACTCAGGCCCTTGTGCTTGCCAGGGAAGTGCTTATTTTACTGAGCCATCTCCCAGGCCCTATCCATCTTTTTTTTTTGGCAGAACTCAGGTTGAACTCAGGCCCTTGTCTCCCGGGCCCCTTTTTCCGTCTTTTTGAGACAGGGTCTCAAATACGCAATCCAGGTTGGCCTTGAGCTCACTTTGTAGCCTAGACTAGTTTCAACTTGCAAGGATCCTCTTGCCTCAGACTCCCGAGTGCTGGGATTAGAGGCATGCACCACCATGCTTAATATAACCACCTAGTGACTCTTATTAATCTTTTATTTATTTGGTACAGGGTCTCACTACAAAACTTGAACTCTACTGATCATTCTGTCTCAGCTTCCCCATTGCTAGGATTATAGACTTGCACTACCACTGGGTTGGAACAGCACTCCTGGGGTTCCAGGGCTGGCACACCATGTGGTACCGGGGATTGAACTGGGGATCTCACGCTCACCAGGCAGGCACTTAGACCTCTGACCTATCGCCCCAGCCTCATACTTCCCTTTCACTGTAGACTTTTTTCAAGTTTTTTTAGCATGAGAGACAAGTGCCTGCCTCACTTGCCCCCCCCCTTTTTGTATTTAGGACAGGATGTACATGGGTACAGGGTGTACAGGGTCTCATTGCATAGATCAGACTCCCAAGCGCTGGGATTATAGGCGTGCAACACCATGCCCAGTCTCAATCGTCATCTCAGTGCACCCTGGTGGGGGGTTGGCACTGCAGGCCAGGGGATGGAACTCCAGGGCTCTGAGTCTGCCTAAGCAGGCACTTTAATCTGTTGAGCTATTTAGCCAGCCCTTTTTATTTTTATGTGTGTGTGTGTGTGTGTGTGTGTGTGTGTAACTGGGGATTGAACTCAGGCCCTTGTGCTTGCCAGGGAAGCACTTATTCCACTGAGCCATCTACCCAGCGCCATATTTATTTACTTATTTATTTGCAGTACTGGGGATTGAACTCAGGACCTTGCACTTGCCAGGCAAGTGTTTATTCTATCGAGCTATTTCCCCAGCCCTTTATTTTTTAAAGATGTACGTTTTCTTGGCACCAGAAATTAACTGAGGACCTCGCATGTGCCACGAGCTCT